TTAAAAGAGACATAGATATAAATCTTTGTAGCCTTGAGCTTTTCAATGAGGTCTTAGATATGACATCCAAAGCACAAGCAACAAGAAAAAATAGATAAATCAGACTTCATCAAAATTTAAAACACTTTTGCATCAAAGGACATTCATCAAGATAGTGAAAAGCTTATAAAATGGGAGAAAATATTTGCAAATTATATATCTGATAAGGGTCTATTATCCAGAATACGTGAAGAAAAGAACTCTTAAACTCAACAACAAAATGACTGAACACCAGGTTACGAAATGGGAGAAAATATTTGCAAATCATATATCTGATAAGGGTTTATCATCCAGAATACATGAAGAAAAGAACTCTTATACTCAACAACAAAATGACCCAACACCAGCTTACAAAATGGGAGAAAATATTTGCATATCATGTATCTGATGAGGGTCTATTATCCAGAATATGTGAAGAAAAGAACTCTTAAACTCAACAGCAAAATGACCCAACACCCTAATGAAAATATGGCCAACGTACTCTGCATAGACTTTCCTCCAAAGAAGACATACTTGGCCAAGAAACAGTTGGAAATGTGTTCAACATCATTCATCATCAGGGAAATGCAAATCAAAACCACAGAGAGAGATCACTTGTCACCCACAAAGGTGTTACTATTTTTGAAAAGATAAGAGAAAATAACAGTATTGACAATCGTGGGAAAAGCCTACCTTCCCAGTGGAACAGAAAAGAAGAATGGTGTGGCCATTGCAGACCGTATTTTGGCTGTTTCTCCAGAAGTTAAATGTAGAGTTACCACATGACCCAGCAATTCCAATCCTGGGTACAGACCCAAGGGAACTGAAAATGTGTTCCCACAAAAGCGCATACATGGATGTCCATTGTGGTATCATTCATAATTACCGCTAGGTGGCAATGACCTGAATATCTATGGACCCATGGGCTGATAAAGAAAACGTGCTATAGCCATGCAATGAAATAGTACTCAGCTCTGAAGAGGAACAGAGCGCCGACATCTGCTACATCACAGATGAATCTTGAAAACAGGGCACTGCATGAAAGAAACCAGACACAGAAGACCATTTTAGTATGATTCCATTCATAGGCAGTGTCCAGAACAGGCACTTCATAGAACCAGAAAATAGATCCGTGGTTGCCAGAGGCTGGGGGAGGTAGGCGTGGGGAATGACGGCTAAAAGGTATGGGGTTCCTTTTTAGGGTGGCAAAAAAAATATATGCCAGAAAAAGATAGCGGTGATGATTGCACAGCCTTGGAACATTCTAAAAAACAACAAAAACACTTGAGCTGCATGCTTGAAAGTGGTCATTTGATATACGTGAATGATATCTCAACTAACAAAAAAAAGTATAGAGAGGTCCCACGTGTACTTGCCCAGCTTCCATCATCACTGACATCCTATGTAACCATAGTACATTATCAAAACCAGAAAACTGATGTATCATGTGCAGACCTTCATACACGCATTTGTGTGTGTGTGTGTGAGTTCTAGGCAATTTTATCACACGTAGATTCAAGTAACCACGACCACATCAAGATATACAGCGACAGTTCCGTCACCACAAAGGGAGTCCCTCACACAGCCCTTTATAGCCACAACTCCCCACACCCATCCCTGACATTGGCAACCACTGATCTGTTCTCTGTGCTTTTTGTCACTTCAGGAATGCTATATAAATGGAATCATACTGCCTGTAACCTTTCTGAGACCGGCTCTTTTCGCTCGGTATAATGCCCTTGACATCCATCCAAACTGGTGTGTGTATCAGTAGCTTGTTGCTTTTTGATTACGGTAATTTATTAAATTGGGGCTACTTCTGTGGGCAATCCAGCATCTGCCCAAGGGCGTGGATCTGCGTCACTGGGTTAATTCTGCAAGAGGAAAGCACCTTTGTTAGGAATTAGGGACCTCCAGCAAGAGACCTACCCTGACCATCTGTTCTAAAAAATGCCCTTCCATTGGCCATGAATAATTCTCTCTTATTTTCTTTGTCCAGTGTATCCCTGACTGATTTTTTTTTCTTGGCAATTTTATTTGTTTGTTTCCCCAGCTGGTGCAGAGCTGGGACCTGGTGGGCGGGGCTTCGCTGCCTACCCTTGCATGTGGCTCCTGCATGAGGGGGTTTATATTGGGCAAGTGGGTAACAGATGTTGTCGATGCCTCCCCAGCCCCTGGTCCTTCCTCTGTCTGTGTGTGCCTGCCTCTATATTTCTCTGATGGAGGATTGTCTTTCTGGCCCCGGGGGCCCATTTTCCCTCCCAGGAAGCAGACCTAGACTTGTGGGGAATTGAGCCCCCAGGAGCCGCCCTCCACCTACACTGGTGGGAATTGGGGTGTGACTACCCCAGCTCCCTTGTCCCGAGGGTGGCCTTGCTCTGAGGCGTGTTCTGCTCTGGCTCCCACATTCCCTGGTGGCACCAAGCTCCAGATGCCACAGGAGGGGCTAGCTTGGTAACACACTCTTTATGGAATGCCTGTTCTCCCCTTGCCTCCCCGCCCTCCCAACTGGTGTTTCCTTTGATGTCCACATAATCTCCCAACAATCAGATCCTTGCCTCAGGGTCTGCTTGGGGGTGGGGGCGGTGAATCCACACTAAGACAGAATGAATTAATGAATGAAAATGGGTGTGAATCCTGACTCCACCGCTTGGGCTGGCCACACCCCTTGCTGCCTGGCAGAGCTCTGGTCTTCCTTCCAGGACACTGGTTGCAGCGCTGGTCCTTCCCAGGGCTTTGAGAAAACCCGGGGCGGTCACGGCGGCAGCAGATTCTCATTCTGCCCTCTCTGCCATGAGCAGGCACAGCGGACGCTTGGCCTGCTGGCTTGGCCCCTGCTGTTTGCTCAGCGCGCCTTGGTCAGCCCTCAGCGGCTTCCCATAAGCCTTTTTCTTAGAGACTCCGTCTGCTAATGAGGCCCTGAGTTACCCACAGGTTAATGTTCTTTGACTTTGAACACCATGATTCCCACTTAGTCCTCCTGTTATCCCTCCTGCTGACAGAGATGTGATGGGAAATCAATTACGGTCCCCTCGCCCGCGTCCAAGGCTCAGCCTTCAGACTCTTCCTTTGTCAGGCAGCCACAGTGACCCAATTTAGGCCCTGACTTGGGGAAGGCATGAGGGGCACCCAGTGGATTTTGAGCTGTGCTGTCTTGACCCCTTGCAGCTGCCCAGAGCACTCAAAGTTCCTGCAGAGCTTGAGAAACTTGGCCAGAAGAAGTCAGAACCCCTTGAACTCCTCTCTCTCCCTTAACAAAAGTAGGCGCCTCCCTCCTGAAAGGCACCATTGTCGCTGGAACAAGCCCCCTTTGTTCTCTCCCGCAGCTGGTGCCTGGGCCTCCATCTCCTGGGCCCGGCAGAACCCACCCCCCCCCCACCCCAAGCCAGCCAATCTCCTCCTTTCCTGGCTCTGTCAAGTAGCTGGCCGTCCAGTTGAGACCTTCTTAAATACACAGCGATGCTGCCTTTAGGTGAAAGGGACAACTCCAGCCCATGTCAGAGATGCTGTGGTTACCTCACTGCTACTCTCAGCCTCTAAAAGCAGGGACCCAAGCTTCAGACGCCTGCAGGGGCCAGACAGAGGCATATCCTGGGAAGACAATGGGGTGTAGAACAGTAGGGAATGGTGGGGACTGGGGCACCAGAGACCACCCCCACCACCCCACTGGCTCCAGCCAGCAGCCACCAGGGGCCCACTGGGGCCGTGTTCTCCATGTCTATACCAAGCAAAACCCTAGTTCTGGGAGGGGAGGGGAAATTTCCCCATCGTTAAATGTGGCCAACCATGTGTTTTTAATATGTCACGAGCCAAACAAAATCCGCCTGCAGGCCAGATCAGTTTGCAGCCACTTCTCTAGACTTCCCACAAAGGGACAGCCATTAGGAGGTAAATAGCAATCAGTCATTCATTCCATCATTTATTTATTCAACGAAGATTCTGTGGCTTCTATCATGTGCCAAGGAACTGTGCTGAACGTGCAGGGTTCTGGAATGAGTTAGACATAGCCAATTCCCTTCCGGAATGCAAAGCCAAGCGTGTTGGAGGGGTGATCTGGACTGGAAAACAGGTATTTGTGGGACACTGAGGAAATGCTAGGCTCAGGCAGTGCAAGGAATCGTGGGCACCTGGAGGACAGAGCAGTGGTATCAAGGAAGGGGTGACAGTGGGGGCGACAGCATATTTGTGCTGAATTTCCCTGGTGGGAGAGGCTGGAAGCATATTGCAAGGAGAGGCGCAGCCTGTGCAAAGGCCCTGAGGCCAAGCCTGGTGGGAGATGTTCAGCAGCAGCTGTGAGTTTTCTCTGGACAGGAAGTTGCTGGAGCTGAGTAAAGTCTCTGGATCTGGCTTTTTCCACCTCTACCTAAAGCACCCACAATGTGGAATCTTGTCGGCACAAGCAGTTGCAACAGTGGGGTTTCCCCGCTCCTCTGCCCCTCTGGCCTTGAGAGTAGCCTGGCCAGTGGACAGGAACCACACTCAGGGGTCCTGAGTCTTCGAAAACCTGCCAGGGAGGAGAACAGTTCCTGGGGCTTGGTGCCACAACCCTGTCCCAAGGCCTGCTCCAGTTTCTTTCTTTTCTTTTTTTTTTTTCTTCTTTAAATTATTTTTATTTTTACATTTTTTAAATTCCACAGGGTTTTGTAAAAGAAAACCAGACTCTGCTTGCCGGGTTAATGAAATAACCCAAGTGACTGCTCTTTGCCCATCCTCTTCTTTCATCTTTCCCCACCCCCAGTGCTCTCCCCAAAGCTGATTAAATTGATTAAAAGCCCGCTGCATTTTAAATTCAGTCTGAATGGCAGAGCAGAGAGGCCCAGGGGGCAGCTTTGTGCCACAAAGTGCAGTCAGGGCAGGTGAGGTCTAAGAGCTCACCCTAGATTATGTAGAGAAGGGAGGCCTGGCCTCCTGGCCCTCAGACCGTTTACTTCGGGGAGAAAAAGAAATGCACTAACAACACCCCTCTCTTCCTGGTGTTTCAGAGCATGGAAGACCCTTCCTTGTGGATGTGCCCCTTCCACCCACCGCTCCAGCTCTTTTTTGTTATCCGCAACACCAGACAGCTGCAGGACTTTGGTCTAGCCAAGATCAAGGTCTGGAATTACTGGACGGCTAATGGCGTAAGTAAGGGCCCTGACTCCCCACTGGGTGTGTGACTGATGGAAGCACCTAGGCGCTGTCCAATCATCTGAGTGCTGAAGTTGCAAAATGCATTCGCCGAAGCCTGGCTGCCCTTCCTGCTGGGTGTAGCCAGTGCCTGGGTGGGCATTTCATGCCGTGTGGACAGAGCCACGGGGAGCAGAGCCGCAACTTGAAGGTTTGGGAAGTGAAATCAGGCCACCCTTGGGGGGAACTAGACAGATAGGAACCAGGGCTCAGTTTTGATAGATAAGGAAACAGAAAGATTTCTTAGGTAACCACAAAAAGGTTATGTAACATGCCCAGAGTCACACAGCCAATAAGCGTCACCATGAGAATGAACCCACACAGTCAGACTCGGCGCATTCATTTAGCCAGTGTGTCTCAGAATTTAATCTGTGACAGCTTACCGGGGATCTTGCTAAAACACAGGTTCTAATTCAGCGGGTGAAGGGGCAGGGCATGAGTTTCTGTACCCAGAGGTGCCGGTGTTCCTGTTGTGGGGACCCCACTCTGAACAGCCAGGCTCTTAACCTCTGTGCTCTTCTGTCCCTCCAGTTTCAGAATCCCTGCCCTTCTTCCTACCCCCCACAACACCCCCTACACTGGAGCGCTTAACCTCTCTTCCTTCTCTGGACTTTTTTTCATGTTCTCATTTACACTTGTTCCTTCATTCAACATGTACTGTTGAGCACATGTGCCGTCGGGCTTCCTGATTAATTTGGAGGACATTGATATGAAAGACACAGTCCCCACCCTGGAGGTACGCCTTGTCTAAAAGCCGGCAGACAAGTAAATGTAAAAATAAGTTGCAGTGTGCTGAAGGCCTCCGTGGAGGTGACTTTGAGTTTCAAATGGGAGCTCCTGGAACTCAGCAGGGAACTCAGTGGGCGAGGAAGGACAGGACCCCCCCCTCACCCTATCTTGTTTCCCCTCTTTCGATAGATGTGGGGACAATTGTTCTGTTTTCTTTTCTAATTTGTTCTCAGGGATGTGGTAATACAAGGGAGATGAGCAAGGGGAACTGGTCCTCAGCTTCAATATTGTCAAGAGAGACAGTAGGGCATGGTGGGGAGTGTGGCAAACAGGTAAGCACATGCTTAAGGTAAAGGGAAGGCCACTTGTCAGCTTCAGCTAATGGTTGCTACATACATATGCCAACCAGGACCGCTAGATGAACATTCCTGGGGAGCTGGGAATCTGGAATTTGTTAGGAGCGTTTCTGGTTTGTAAATGTCAACAGCTAATTTAAATTCTTTTGAAACCACCATACAGTCCAAAGCAAACTCATCTTTGGGCTGGAGTTGGCCTGTCTGGAACGCAGCCCCTGCAGCAGGGAGGGAATCTGCGTCAGGCTGGGTGAGCTCAGTGAAGGTGCTAGAAGAAGTACACACCTGAGCCACAGTGGGAAGAGACAGTGGCACAGAGCTGACGCAGAAAAGGAGAAAGTGTATTCCAGGAGGAGGGCCCAGCCCCTCCAGTTCATCTCCAGTAGCCACTGGGAGGTCTGATCATGATTCTCTGCAGCTTCAAACCCTCCAAGGCTTTCCTTGACCTGGACGATCCAGGTCAAAGACGCGAGCATGACATCAGGGCCCCGTAATCCCAGGCACCAGGCCCCACGTCTCCCTACCATCAGCCCCCACCCCCTGCTGTGGCCACACACCCCCAAAGTGTCAGCTGCTGTGCCTCTCCACCACTCTGCCTGGGAGTTAACAGATCGGCCCCGGCCCCTCCCATCTGGCTCAGCTCCAGGTGCCTGCCTCTGCTGCAAATTCCCAGAAAACCAAACATTACTTTCTCTAGGAAGTCTGTCCTGACCCCTGACTCCAGTGCCACTTCTGGACTTCATGAATATGTTCCATCGCCCCTGTACCGGGATGGACATCTGCCTACCCCATACCACCATGGGCTCCTGGGAGCAGGGCCTGCATTGTCTCTGCCTCTGCTCATTCAAAGTGGTTATCAAATGAAGGAATGAGCCCATTGCCCGAGAAACCACCGGTAATTTATCTTATGCCTTTTGATAGCCAGATGAGACACAGAATTGGCATTTGCTGCATTTGCACAGGCTGGTACCCAAGGTCAGGGCAGAGCTGGGGATCAAGTTCAGGGAGTCCGGTCCTTCTCCCTCCTTCCCATCCCCCTGCATCCCATACTTCTTCCTGCGGATACTCCCCCTCCCAGCCCCTCCCCACTCTCCAGGGGTCCAGCTGTATGCTTAGGGGCTGTCCTTCAGGCCCTGGCAGGACCCCACCCCTGTGTAGCCACAGGCACTCTCTGCAGGTGGGGCCCTGCTTGCTCATTCCCGAGCTGGCTGGACACTTCCTGGCAGGTGGTCAGCGGCATCTTCTGGAAGGAGCAATGAAACAGTGCTCACTGCCCAAGCCCGTGCCCTGTACCTCTCAGCCCTGTCATTGAATATATATGTCTCTGGCCAAGAAAAGCGGATTTTATGTGCTGGATTACAAAGCAGATAAGCTTCATCCCTTATGGCCAGGCCCACCTTTCTTCTTGAACCTGCGCTCAGCCTTCCCTGTGCGCTAAGAATAAAAAAGAGGAGTAGGACATCAGGGGGTCGTTGGGGGTGCTTCGGGGAGCCTTGGCGGCCGGGCTCCGAGTCCTGAGGTATTTCTACACACGGAGCAGAGTGCGGAGGACTGCAGTCCCTGCCCAGGGCTGCCGCTTACGTAACACACACCCATCTGTTGCCAGAATTTACCGGGGGCAGAAAGCGCAAACAAACGCAGCGGCAGGTTGGTTTGATTTAATATTCTCCGGAGAATGCTATTACTGTGTGTTTTAGAGGAGATAGAAATGAGAGTTTATAGGAAATATAGCTCGGCCTGGTAGACACGGCTGGTTAATACAGTGTTTTGTGTATGGGACTCCAAGGGAGAAAAGTTAAACGGGGGGTGGGGAGCAATTCCGACCAAGGCTTATTTAGAACATAAGAAAAGAAGGTGCTAGAAAAAGGGAAGGCTCTTTTATCGCAAAATACGATGTTGCCCGTCCAAGTTCTCAGGCTAACTTCTCTGGGTTCCCTTCTCCCCACCGACCCCCCGTTAGGCGATGTGGTGACAGGGGCAGGGACTTCTGGGGAAGTGAGGACGAGGACTAGAATCCGGCTACCCAGACAAACAGAAGGCAGTGCGCAGACATCTGTACTCATCACAGCTGCCGTTTACCTGTGTCCACCAGGTGGCCGTGAGGCACCCTGTTAGGCACTCGGTCAACATCTGATGCGTGAACAAATAAGTCAACAAACGAATCATCCCAGTTAACCCCCAGGAATCCTGCAAGGTGGCATCACTCCCCACCTTGTCGGGGAAGAAGCTGGAGCTTAGAATAGTGAGCTCTTTGGGGGCAGAGAGACTGCGTCTTTTTTGTCAGCCCTGCTTGGAAGTGGCTGCCCGGAGTGCCGTCTTGAGAAGAATCTGGAACCTTCCTTCTGGTTCATAAAGAGAAGGGTGTTGTGGTGCATCAGTGATGTCTGCCTCGGGCTCAGGAGGAGGCTATGATCATAACGTCTGTCACATTTTTTTGGTACTCCTTGGATGGCGTGACTTGCCCAGCGAGTGACTTGCGAGGGACACAGCTGGCAGGAGAATGTGAGGGATGTCAGTTTTTCTCAGCACTTCCTCTGCCGAGCTACATCTGTTGGGAGGAAGGAGCCAGTCTCCCTACTAGAGTGTGTAGTAACCCATCCAAGAAGTGGGCTTTCGGCAGGTCCCCATGGTCTTATGTTTTCCTTCAGAACAAGTCTATCTTTGGTAAAAACAGGCACGTTATCACCATCTTCACCCATAACATAACCACGTAGATGCCACCTCTGGCCTGGTCACAACAGTGGGGGAGGCAGGACAGGCGCCAAGTGGTATCGTCCATATACAGAAATGCTGCTCATTAAATAGTTTATGAATGAATGAATGCATGGATGGATGGATGGATGGATGTTAGATTTCCCCAGCGTGTATCTCTGTGATACTCCATGATGGTCTAAGCCAACACTGTCCTGTAGAACTTTCTGTGATGATGCTACCGCAGGATGTCAGCTCCATCCAGTTCAGTAGCCATGAGCCACAGGTGCCATTGAGAACTTGCGGTGTGGCTGGTGCAATGGAGAAACTGCATTTTATTTTACTGATTTTTTTTTTCATCGAGTTGTAATTGAGATATAAGATTGTATTCTTAGACATTTTTGGTGCACGACCTAATGATTTGGCATATGTCTATATGGCAGAATCATTACCATAATAAGTTTCGTCAACCTCTGTCAGCGCACATAGTTACAGAACATTTTTTTCCTGATGATGAGAACTTTTAAGATCTCCTTTCTCAGGAACTTTCAAATATACAACATGATATTGTTGACTACAGTTACAATGCTGTACGGGACATCCCCAGGACTTATTTCTCCTATAACCGGAAGTTGGCGCCTTTCGAACGCCTCCCCCCATCGCACCCACCTACCACTTCCCACCTCTGGCAAGCCCCAATCTGTTCTCTGGATCCATGAATTCAGGTTTTTTCAAGTTTCACATGTAAGTGGGATCAAACAATATTTGTCTTTCCCTGTCTGACTTATTTCACTTAGCATAGGGTACTCAAGGTCCAGCCGTGTCTTTGCAGATGGCGAGATCTCCTTTTTGATGGCTGAGTAATAGTCTTCTGTGTGGATATACCACATCTTTTTAATCCGTTGGTCTGCTGGTGGCCACTTGGGTTGTCTCCGTGTTTTGGCTGTTGCAAATAGAATGCTGCAGCAAACACGGGCATGCAGATAACTTTTGGAGAGAGTGATTTCGTTTCGTAAAGACCAATTCCCAGATGCAGAATCGCTGGATCGCACAATAGTTCTCTCTTTCCTTTTTTGCAGAACCTCCATCCTGTTTTCTTTTTTTTTTTTTAAGATTTTATTTATTTATTTGACAGACAGAAATCACATGTAGGCAGAGAGGCAGGCAGAGAGAGGGGGGAA